ATCCCTATACAGTTTCATTGAATCACAGGGACTAAGAGACCCACAGCTGGCTGAACTTCAGCTTCAACATCACCCCCCTAGTGTATGTACCATAGTAGATGGTTAAAATGTCCCAAAATGTACTAGCTGTGGAATCCAACTTAGAGATTAGTGTAAGGCTTTGGGGAAAATAGAGATAAACAGTGCTGTCAGATTACTCTTGCGATTAATCAGCAATATATTCCAAGTCTGCAGTATTTTGAGATGACTCATTCTCATTCTGATCAAGAGGTCATCTCTAGTACATGATTTACTACCACTAGGCCAGGGACCTGGACAAGGAATCAGCACACACATTGATCCCAACTCTTCCCCTGTACTCAACATTATGATATTGGACCAGCCATTGGAACTTTTGAAAAATCTGTTTTCTCATCAGTAGAATGAGGATGCTTACAAAATTTTCTCTAAGTCATTCCATTCTCCACTAAAATCACTGCCATAAAGTAAATTTCAACTCATAGTGATGCTATGGAACAGAGTAGAACTGCCCCATAGGGTTTCCAAGCCTGGAAATCTTTACAGAAACAGAGTACCTCATCTTTCTCCCAGGGAGTGCTGGTAGGTTTGAACCACTGACCATTTGGTTAGCAATCAAATGCTTTAATCACTGCACCACCAGAGCTGTTTGTCATTGCATCCTAGCTCTAACATTTTATGTTTCTATGATTCAGTAATTGTGGAACTTAGGCCCATAATGAGTAAAGAAGGCAAAGTTTCAAAATTAAGTCCTTTTGATTAAAAAAGTGTGGTTCAAAGAACTTCTGCTTTGAGCTTACTGTTTGTACATTTCATGCAATATATATTAATTGCTAGTTAAAATTATATGCATATTCAGTGGGAAAGAGCTTGAAGATTACAAGCACAAATGTCCCTAAATATGGAGGACTGGAAAAGAGAAAGTTAGTTCCATCAAGCAAAACTATAACTATATCGTTAAAAAGCTTTTCGTCAATCACAAAATAGCTCCTTCCTTCTGGCAGATTTTTTTATTTCCTTACTGTGAATACTCTCTGGGTCC